TTCTAACAGTAGAAAAAGGACAGAGCAGTCATAGAATTGAATAGAAAAATAAAAATTACAAGGCAATTAAATAAAGTGGAAAATGAGAAAGAATTTGAATGGAACAACTCCTGGGAAGCAGAAAAGTCCCTGAATCCAGTCACAGGGGAAGGGACTGACTGTTGGCCACCCAATACGAGTGTTATATATGATGATGTTTCCACTGCCACCTCTGGCAGATTGTCAACAGAATTACAATGTGCAGTTCTATTCCACTAGCTTCAGGTTTCAAGAACTTGGTTTCAGTCAATTACAAAGATATCAGAAGACTGATTATCCTTAAACAATTGAGAACTGTCACTTGGTTATCAATAAGGAGCTCAGAGAAATTGCTGGTGAGCATTTATGAAGACTGCACACATTTATTATTATTTAGGAATCAACGGAGACTACTGAATTTTAAGGAATGCTTTTTAAATCTTTTTATGAAATAAAAGTTATTGCTAACACTCAAAATAATTAATAGGGCTTCTAATGGATAGAAATTCAAAGGTACATTACTACTTTAAAGAAGATAATGTGTGAATAATGCTCTGAGGCATAAGAAGTTAGCTTCAAAAACTCTTCAAAGAGTTTTTATTCTTTATATAACTGTATGTGTCTCTTCTTTACAGAAATAACATTATGTGCACTTTTATTAGTTTTTAATATAAATCAGTTTTACTTGTTCTAAAATAAGAACACATATATTTTACTCGATTTTCAATGTATTTTGTCATTTTTTGATAAACAATGGCTTATTAGGTAGAAGTATGTATTTGCCTATCTTGTTAAGTAATGTGCTATTATGATATCATGCAAATTCCAAAACATTTGGATTGTGTTATCTATCTATCTACCACCTACCTATCTATATTTGGTAAGCGACTATAGGCAGAATCTAACTAATAGAGAAACAGGGCAAAAAAAAAATGCAAATAGAAAGAAACTAAGTACATTCTTTGAATTTTTTCATCCTACTAAAAGAAACTTAAATAACCTCTTTCTGCTAGAGGATTTGTTAACATAAAACCCTTAAATCTATCTTCAGCTGTAGTAAGGTACATCATACTTTCAGTTGGATGCTGAATCCTTTCAACTATCTTTACTAAAGTAATGGGCAATATATTACCAGTGCTATGTATTTGGGGTGATTAAACTGATGGTAACGATAATACACAAATATTAGGAACAGAAAAAATGGAAAAAATTTAACTGCACAAAAAAGGAAAAACAAAGTAACATTTGTGCTAATAAAATAAAATCTCAAGAGTACCAAGTCGTTTCCAAAGGAAAACCATTATTGGCAAAGAAAGTATAATTGAAAATATAAAGATTATTTTGGAATGGATTTTCATTTCTAAATTAAAGAAACATTGCAATTTAAAAATAAAATATTTTAATATGAGATCATTTAAATAGGAAAACAATCTGACTAAACTTATACAAAAATGTAAAATATAATCTGCTACAGATTTTTAATTGAATTCTGTGTAAGGCACTGCTACACATTTTTAGTAAGAGAAAAAGATTTATACACAGGTTTCCTTTCACTTAGGTTTTAGTTTCTTTCTCCTAAGAGGAAATTTACTTTTGTTTTTTAGAATATTTTTAAAGGTATTAAAATTAGGGTTTAATATTTGAAATCTACAAGGGAATTGTTTGGATCTGCTTGTCATCATCATCTGTCATTTATAAACAGAGCTGTTCTTTATATGTGTGTATTGACTGAATTGGCATTTCCTCTTATGATGCTTTTCAAATAAATTAACAGAATATATTGACCAAGACAATAGCTGCTTACTTCTTCAACATTTAAAAATTATTTCTGAGGAAAGTGCTCATTATGTGACTAATATAAAGCACTGTTTAAGACAGTAGGCTCTGAAGGCATTTTTTTTTCACTTCTAATACTGCCTTCACTACATATAAATGAGGAACATTAAAAAAAGTCACTTAATATTAAATATGAGAGCAATAGTACTTACCTATCCTATAAATGAAACAAAAATTAAATAGGATATGTTTTAAGTACTTAGCAAATTACAAGCAGTCATTCGGTCAATGCATATGAGCTATTTTGATCTTCTCCTCCATGGTTTTTACACATTAACTCAGGTGTTAACTTACTTTTCCATATTTATTTCATATGTTATCATAGAAATGAAGCAAAATGGTTATTTGAGCAAATTCTCCCATTTGGAGACAAAGTTATGTATAAAAGACAAAAGTTTTGGTATGTCTATCTAGGATTAAACACCAACCTCCCTTGCAGGTTAATACATTTCAAATTATTTCAGTTTTCTTATATGTAAGATAAAAATAAAACCTTTTTAGCTTTTTTAGCTTAATTAAACTAATGTTGTAATAAAGTTTGCATTGTTTACAGTCAGTGGTAAAAATTCAATAAATTCTAGTCCCCTCCCCCAAATCTAGATAGGTAGACAGATAGATATAAACATAGATACATAGATGCTTGGAAAACAGAAAGACAAACAGAATAATTTATATAGATAAAGGAGAGTGATGGACAGAGAAATAAATAACAGAGATAGATGAAAGTTGAGAGAGAAAGCATGAGATAGAAACAAAGACAGAAGTGGCTATGGCCATACCACCCTAAACATGCTGACTCCTGTCTGATCTTGGCTGCTAAGCAGGGTGGGGCCGGGTTAGTACTTGGATGGGAGAAACAGAGACAGAGAGATCTCCTATCTCTACTAGTTACATATGGTTATTTGGAGAGGCTCCAAGTCAAATTTATTTTTGATATTCCTGAAGAATCTAACTTCTCCTTACACATTCAAAGCACTTAATAGATATTTATTAAATGAATGAATAAAGCAAATCAATAGATATATCAATAAATGAACTAACATTTTAGCTAACTTTAAAGGTCATGCTTTAAAGTGGAAGACAGTCTTTCTCGTCTACATAATTCATAACCTACCTAAGTGGACCTTCTAGATTCTCAATAATTTTTTCATATTTGCTAATAGGGATGTGTGGAAACTACCTACTTTATAGGAGATATTTCTATTGGCATTCTTACTCCTAGACTAGCAATTATTTTATGTGTAATATTAATTAAAGTACATTCCAACTTTGGCATTCCTTTAAGAATGATAACTATCTTCCTAAGATATTACTTTTTGATATCTAGATTGAAAAAATAGCTTTTCAGTGTAAGTTGCATTTTCATACAATAAATGAGACCACTTCCTTTTTCTATAGGAGAAAATACATCAAATATACTCCCATCAAATACATTGCTCAGTTAGTGGATGAAAAGGAATTGAAGAGTTAATATGAACAGCAGGGTTTTTTTGTTTATTTGTTCATTTGTTTTGGTTTTTTTTTGGATTAACAAAGTTTCTCATAAAAATATGAAAAACTCTTTACTTACTCTAAGCAGCTTTGTAAGTAGTAGCCAAGCAGTTTATGTATTATACACATAGATGTGTCTATCTCATGCTACATATTTACATATCAATATACAAAAACCCCATTATTTAAAAATGTCTCAAAGATACATATATGTTATAATATCACAGAGCCACAACCCATCATGATCGATTAAGTCACTTTAAAGTAAACATTCAAATTTGCAGGGAATGTGAATATTGGATAAGCATTTAAATTACTTCTGTTAAAAATGATTTTAAAAACAATACTACATTGTCACACAAAAAGTTGCTATGTTAAAAGATCAGGAAAAAAGTCATCAGTTTAGCACTTATTACTTAGAAAACAAGGCTTTTTGTGAAGTAAATTTTAAAATAACTTCAGCATAATTTATATTCAGTGCAGAAACATTAATATATATTTTATACTGAACATACATATTTATGTGGTATATATGTAAATAAGTATGTATAAAGATATATATTTTTATATATGGGTGTTGTAAGTTTGTATTACGATTTTAACATGACAAGAAAAATTAATTACACTATATCTGCTGATGCATGTATGAGAGGCCAACCTATATAACAGGCAAAAATTTACTTTATATAAATCATCAATGAAGAAAGGACTTATAAGCTATGTTCACATAGGTTAAATATAGTTTCTCATTCAAAAACAATTAAAATAATAAATAGAAAATATATTTAAATGTTTTCAAGACTAATATATCAACTAATCTAACTAATGCATTTATAATCCTAAAATCTGATGTATATAACTGTTCTTTTCATAATTTACAACAGAACATAAACCATCTATTCATTCTCTAAGTCTTACATATAAGAGTAGCTTAAGTTTCTTTGCATGTATCAATAGCAAATATTTCATTGTATTCAAAACATTAAAAACATCTAAATTAATAAAAATACACATAAAATGAATAAATTGGAGATAGAATTTTAGAAAAAATATGTATTTATTAAGACATATTTCTTTTTTATCTCTATCAGTAAACAAGTTCGTGTTTGATATTCATGAGGACTTAGATGTAAATCAAAAGAAGGAAAAAAATCTATCGTTTAGCTATTATTTGACTCTCTTGAAAAACTAATATGAAGATAAAATCCAAACTAAAAATAAACCAACACTGCTAAGAGCTATAAAATTCCAATCAAGTTTTCATTTCAGGTAAAAAGTGTTGAATTTACTAATTTAATACTCTTAATTAGCATAATACAATGTAATATTCCTATCTAGCCAATAGAAGCCATACTTTCTTTGTCAGTAAAACTCAAAATAGGAAAAGTTAGGAAATATCCACAAAATAAGAACAATCAAGTGACTTTGGTCAAGTTCTTATTTTAAGAAGATTAAAGACTGATACCCATGGCTTTCCTTTTTCGGTTGTGACTGTGATATTGAATAGTTGCTTTTTGTCTGGGGCAATCTCGGGATTTGCTGTTTCTTTGATATATTATCAATGGGCCATTCCACCGTGATAAACTGCAACTCCAGTACTAATAGGGTTATAATGATTGCTTAATACTTTGTAAGCATTGGAAGACTTCACTCACCTTGTTCAAGTGGTTGGCTTTTAGTTGAAGTAGTTTTCATCTTGAGTGCCTCCCTAACAGACATGTCACAGCAGGAGCCTTTGTTAGTGTCTTGGTCACTGTCAGCCTGATCACTGTCCCCGTGCCCACTGTCTCTGAGGCTGGCTCTTTCTGGGTCCTTAAACGTGGAGCTACTGAAATACATATAAAGAAAAAGAAGAGAAAGTGTTGTCTCTACTAGTTTGAATCTGAAGTGTAGTCTCTTGCAAAGCAATTTTGACATGAATGCAAATGGGGAAGCTGAGAAAGTTATTTAATAGGCCTTACCTTTGAACAAACTGCTGCCTGCTGCCCATGTAATTGGGCTCTGCGGGAAAATTGTCTGTCTGTGAAAGAGAAGGAAAAAAATACGTATAGTTGTACACTGGACAAATCTCCTGCAGAGCAACAAGATTTCCTAGTGGAAAAATGATTAATAATTCAAAAATTCCCTTAATCTTCAGATTTGTACATTTTAATTAAATTGGAAATTGCTGACATGTAATTATGTACTCAGAACAATTAAATGATTCCGGTCCACAAATTACCTGTTAAAGTAAACAATGAGCCTGTCATAACTGGCATTCTCTTTTAGTACCACGATGGATAACACTGTCTGTGTTGTTTCATTACATAGATATTAAGATTGAATATTTTGTGGGAGGAGTGGGAAAATGACCTAATTTCTCCATATTAAAAGTGTGAATTATTTAATAATACTCATTTTTAAACATAATTACATCATCTGCTGGGATTATATGCCCTTCTTGATGTAATATCATTTAAAGTCATCCACTCCTCAATTAAGAGATACAGAGCCTTTCCTTCAAATGTTACCAGTAACAGATACAAGCACATCACATATGGTTGAACCCATCTCTGTAATTCATCTTCAGCTTCATCCCAACTATGAAAATTATATTCTAACAATCCAATGGAAATGGGTATTACTTTCTAGCTATTAAAAACAAAGTAAAATACAAATAAGAAAAAAATGTTACTTAAAATATTGAGGGTAGAGACATTGAGAAACCAGGCTTGTTTCTGTGGTTTTTACTGCTTCCAAACTGACCTGGAGGTCTGCCAAAAAAGAACTGAATTCTCCTTGTGTCATGGAACAGAGTCTTTTGGGAGAAAGAGACTGGATCTTTCATAGATTCCCCTATACTGTACATTCATACACATTACTTCTTCTTGCAGCTGACTCAGTGACAAAGCTTCTCCTGTTTTCTGCATCACTTCATATCACGCCATTATACTCTGAAGCAGCTATGGGTTTGTACAAGATCATCCAGCATACAAGTATCAGTGACACAGGGAGCATGCAAGTCATGAAGCAGAGGGCCCAAGGTAAGGCTTAATGTAGTGCAATATGTGCTTTCTTTATAAATAAGGCTAATTTAAAATAAGAGTGCTCTTTTTCTTCCCATATCATAATTTAAAGTATTTGGCTTTGTGAACAATTACTGGGGGGGGGGGAGACATGCTAAGATAATAGCTGAAAGTATTACGTAACTTTCATTGTCAAATTTGGGGGCAGGAAAAACTCCCACAATTCTTTTAATGTATAATTTTTCTTTTGTCTAAATGACCTTTATCAAACTACATGCAAATATGAAGATGACCAAAGAGGATTCCTTGCTCACTCCTCACCATCTTTAACTAGTAGTTAATAGCAGACATTTTACATTAATATGTTGTACTAGTTTTTAGATTCAGTGGAACATCTTAATTTTTATTTCCATAATGACAAACTATCAATTTTTAAGAATAACTTTTAATAAAATTAATTGTGATAACCAATACCAGCGGCCGAATTGTATGCCAAAGAATTTCACAAATTTTTAAAACTATCATAGTTGCTTAGAAACTTCACATTTTAACTTAACAAGATCTAGTTCTCCCTTTGAATTGGTCAAAAACATGTATCCAAGACATTATTGCTGTCAATTAGAAGCTAAGCGTGAATGTCTTAGAACACTTCAGGAAAAGAGAACCCTAGGTATCAAGAACAGAGTAAAATGTAATGTGAAATTTGATATTCTAGGGAGAAAATATAAGCACTATTATAAGTAACTTATATAACTTGTGATTTTATGGTTTTAATAGGTGGGGCCTCATAGGATGTAGATTCCTATTCACTTATACACAAGTAAATAGAATGAAAAAAAATTTCTTCTCTTGTCTTAATACAGACAGTATCTAAAAATGTTAGCATATTATTAAAGTTCTAAGTAGTTGCAATAAAATAAGAGACTTAAACTAAAAAATAAAATAATTTTCTTATTGATTGAAGAGCTGTTAAATAGTTTATATATATACACACACACAAGTGTATATGTTTTATATAGATATAAGATTTTATGTATATACACACGTGTGTATGTGTGCACACCTACACACATATTTATGTATCAGAGTGTCTGGTGAACACTGGGCAGTGGTATTGCTACCAAGTCTTGTTTTGATGAAGACAGAAAAACAAGAGTAATGGAAAAGGTAAGAGAGTTTGGGAGGGAAAGAAAGAGAAGAAAAATAAAAGCATAGGGAAAAGCAAGAGAAAAATACAGAGAAAGAAAAAAAGAAGATGGAAGAGAAAAGCCAAAACATATATGAAAGAGGAAGAAGTAGAGTGGGGGCAGGTAAGAAGAAACGTACAAAAAGAAATAAGTTGGTTTATAATTATAGAATTTTACAATGTATAATTTTAGAAGTTTGCAAATTCATTAGTAGCAGAGCATCAGAAGTTTACTTATAATGTCTGCACTCATCCATTAAAGTAGATAGGAATGTGAGAGATTGTATGTCTATAATTACAATAATGAAATAGTCATTTGGCCTTTAACAAACAAATAACTAATTCACTATTTTTAAAAAACATACTATATTTTTAATATAGAAAGTAACATTTTCATTATCTAGGCTCCAGGGTGTCTAAAAACTCATTTAAAATAATCTGAATATGCAATAACAGTATTTACATAGAAAAATGAAAGAGAAAAAAAAAGCCATGTGTACCACAGCATCATGTAATTTAGAAGTAGAAGAGCTTTCATGTATTTTATAAAACTATGCTCCAAAATCGAGTTATTCCTTATACATCTATACTTCTTAAATTTTAAATCTCGGAAGAAAGTAAAATTTGAGGTTAGACACTTGTAACCTTTTAAGTTTCAACAGAGTAATTAAATATGAATATTTACAATTCTTACAAACCTTATCACCTTTCATACAAACTAATCACTGTAGTGTTTTCTCCTCAAACTCAATTTGAGCACAGTAACTTTTAACTATTATTTCAAAAAACATATAATTTGACTAACATTTAAAAAATCATATGTACTTTGGATGCTTTCAAGTAGACATTTTAAAAACTTAGGGTATGATGGTCTATTTAATCTATTTAAAAGTCATTAATAAATGAAACAAAAGTTGTCTGTTTTTTTAGTGATTTTTGCTCATAACAAAACAGGTTTAAACTAACATAAAACTGAATGTACCTTCCTATTTATGTCATTTTGTCTTTTTGTTATTTTGTTTGTTAAAGATAATAAAAATTTAGATATTCTTTACTTTCCTTTTGTGGAAAATAAACAAGCAACCAAGCAAACACTTAAAATGAATAAAGTCTGTAGGATATGAATAGTTGTTTTGACTATTTGCCTTTATTTATTTCTCTATTAGTACTCAGAAAATTGTAGTACATTTTTAAATGCTAATCAAAATCAACATTTTCATCAACAGTATTTAACAATAAATTATTCCTAAGACATGCCATATTCTAAACCTTGCTCATCCTATTAGAACTCTGAAACACAAATCATTATTTTTAAAAAAGCAAATGTCTGCAAGAAAGGTCGAAAGAAAGCACCATGTACACTATTTGAGTGATAGGCACACTAAAACCACTATATAATATATACATGTAAGAGAATTCAACTTATACCCCTAAGTCTATTAACATTTTTTAAAAGGGTGGTGGTGGGGAAGCACTGGTGAAACTGAGCCATGTTGGCAGAATTTGGGGAAGCTCTTTATTTGTGGCAGTAGATTAATATGACCACTTACTTGCTCTTAAGAATTTCACTTGAAGGTAGATAGTAAAAGTAGTGAAAAGAGATTTTTTTTACTATTAAAATATTAAAAATAAAATTTTACAAGTATATCAAGTATTTCACAAAATTCAGCGTCTATTAATGATAACAAGTCTCAGCAAACTAGGAACAGAAGGAAATTTCCTCAACTTTATAAAGGACATCTACAAAAACATGTAGCATCTATAAAAACATGTAGCATCACACTTAATGGTGAAAGATAGAAAGCTTTTCCCCCAGGCAAAGAGGTCCACTCTCAACACTTCTGTTCATCATCATACTAAAAGACCTAACAAGTTAAATAAGGTAAGAAAAATAAATACAGGGCATAACAATTGGAAAGAAAGAAAAAAAATTTTTATAGATAATATTATTGTATTTATAGACAATATTATTTTTTAGGCAGAAAATAGCAAACAGCCAAAACAAACCAAACTCCTTTGAACTAATAAATGCTACTGTAATATCATCACACAAAAGTCAATTATATTTCTATATTCTAGAAAGAACTGTTAGAAACCAAAATTTCAAAAGCAATACATTTAAAATAGCTCCATAATAATCAAATCCTTAGTAAATAAATATTTTAAAAATACTGAACATTACAAAAACAATAAAATAAATCAAAACGGCTTATATAAATGGAGAAGCATATCATGTTTATGAATTAGAAGACTCAACATGGTAAAGATGTCAATGTTCCTCAAATAATCTATATATAACATAATTCCATGCAAATTCCCCAGCACGATTTTCTGTAAATATATATGAGATGATTCTTAAATGTATATGGAGAAACAAAAGAACTATAACAGCTAAAATAAGTTCCAAAAAGAAGAATCAAGTAAAAGTAATTACACTTACTCTATTACAAGACTTACTATTGAAGCCACGGTAAACAAGACTGCAGTATTGCCAATTGAATGAACATACAGATCAATGAAATGGAAGAGACTGTTCAGATGTAGATCCACACAAATATGGCCAATTGATTTTTGACAGAGTTGCAAAGACAATTCAATAGATAATTCCATAGAAATGAACCTCGAACTACACCTCACACAAAAACTCAAACTTGGATCATAGATCTAAATGTAAAGCATGAAACTATCAAATTTTAGTATAAAACATAGCATAAAATCTTTGTGACCTGGTGTTAGGTAGTTCCCAGAAATGATGCCAAAGCATGATGCACAGAAGAAAAAAATTGGATTTTAGAAAATTATAAATGTAGGTTTTGCAAAAGACAGTGT